AATTAAATTTTTATGGGCCAGTTATTCCACACCTCAGTGTAGTGGCCTGCTTAGAGCCACAAGCTCCTGCCTTGTGTGTTAAGGAACTAGGTGAAAGAACTTCTGCTTCCAGAAATTCTTATACCACCCTATAATCATCTCTGTGCTGTCTTTTGTGGTTTGGATCCTTAGTGTCCCAGGAAAAGCTCATGTGTTAATCCAGGAGTGTTCAGAGGTGAAGTCATTAGATCATGAGAACAATAATATTGTTAGTAGATTAATCGTTTTGAAGGAATAATAATTTGAATAGACTGTTGGGTGACAATAGTAGGCAGGTGGGACATGGCCAGAAAAAGTAGTTCATTATGTAAGTGTCCTTGGCTTTTGTATCTTGTCCTTGGCTGTCCTCCTCTCCTGTTTCAGGAGTAATGAAGGATTGTGACAAAACTTGTCAAAATTATATTCTTTCATCTCCTTCTCTCCTCTCCTCCTCTTCCACTGGGCCCTTGTATTCCAAGAGCTCGCCAACTTTCCTCCACCATGTCTTTCCTTTCTGCCTCACATAGAACTCAAAAAAAGAGAGTTAGCTAACTATGAATTGAATATCTGAAACTGTGAGCCCAATATAAACTTTTACTCCTTTAAGTATTCTTATCAGGTATTTTGGTCATTGTTGTACGAAGCTACCACACCTTGGCTCGAAAAACTGCTCCTGTATATGGAAATCTCAAGTTTTGGACTCTCCAAAGGCAGCTCTATTAGCTCAGGATGGCAGGAATAAACTTGTTTAATAAGTGGATATAATAATGAATGGGTTATTTAGCAATAGTGGGAAACATGGTGGCTGGATGTGAGTCTATCCTGAATTCAGGGTGATATTAAGATTGCTTAGTAATATAGTTTGAATGTTGTCTCGTTGGCCCAGGTAAGTCAATGCTGCCCTTTTTTTTTTCGCTGCAAAGGGAGTAGGTACAATGAACACCTGGCTGGAGTTTGCCTTCACAGGTTTAGTTAAAATCTTCCAAATGTTGTCTCCATGGCCTATTTTGAGGCTAATACTATCCTTATTTGAAGGGTGAAGATAAGGTAGAATTAAGTATCAAATATTTTTTTTTCCTTTTCATGGATTCATAGCTACAAGTGACCCAGTTGGAAAATGCCAACACTTGGGCAACATGTGGAGATGTAATTATTATTTCCCATTGTTTCAGAATTGTATCAAAACATGTCAAAGTTATATTCTTTCATTACTTACACTGCAGTTAGAACCAGATCTAAGGACACTTACAATGAAGGCCAAACCAGGTTATCACCAGGTTTCTGCCATCAAATGTGGGCCATCTACAACTAGAACCAGACCAAATGAGAGAGAAACCAAAGGGAACATCTGTAGACAGAGAATCTTTAATTCCCTCTGATCGGGAACCACATTCCCCCAATGAAGGTCAATCCAGAGCTTCCTGTCAGATGTCAAATCTTGTCTGTCCATATCCAACCCCCTCACAAGAAAAGCCAAATGAGAGGGAAAGAGAAATACAAATCTGATCAATTGAACCAAAGGGACTCACAGGCCAGGACATCTTCAACCCGAGAGCAAAATGAAACTATGTATTGAAGGTCCACAGTGCTGAACCAGGGAAAGTCCCAGGGATGGTCTATAGGA